TTAAATCATAGTGTATATGCTTGTGGTCAGCTCTGCTCTTCTTTTAAGTGGTCCTGTTTATTTTAAAAACTTGAAAATGAGGGTTTTTTTTGCTTACTCAGTTGAAGTTTATTGTAAAATTCAGATGCCCAAAAAAGAAAGTACTGTTTTGTGGGGCACCTGGGTGGCTCAGTCGGTTGAGTGTCTGACTTCGGCTCCAGTCATGATCTTGCGGTCTGTGAGTTCAGGCCGCACGTCGGGCTCTGTGCTGACAGCTCGGAGCCTGGAACCTGCTTTGGATTCTGTGTCTCCCTCTCTCTCTGCCCCTCCCCACTCATACTCTGTCTGTCTCTCAAAAATAAATAAACATTAAAAAAATTCTTTTTTTAATTAAAAAAAAAAGGAAATACTGTTTTGTGCTGTATGTGAAGTGGACCACGAGTGAGCCAGAGGAGGGATGAGCTGTGCTTTTGTCCTTCTGCCTACAGAAGGCAAGCTGTAATGGCCAGCAGATAACATTTGTGGAGGTCTGGGGTGATGAGGGCTTTGACTGAAGGCACTGCATGTAATGTCAAACACAGTAATACCAAGCATATGTTTTCTTTTTTTTTTTAATTTTTTTAACGTTTTATTTATTTTTGAGAGAGGGAGAGACAGAGCATGAACAGGGGAGGGTCAGAGAGAGGGAGACACAGAATCTGAAACGGGCTCCAGGCTCTGAGCTGTCAGCACAGAGCCCGACGCGGGGCTCGAACTCACAGACCGCGAGATCATGACCTCAGCCGAAGTCGGCCGCTTAACCAACTGAGCCACCCAGGCGCCCCCCAAGCATATGTTTTCACTCTGGTTCCTTCATGGTAATAAAGACAATGCTAGAAAGAAACAAAAGTATGGAGAGAAGAGTGGAAATCATGCTGTGTTGGTACATGACATTTGCTATAAAGAGGGTCAATTTGACAACAGTGGAAAAAATTGTTTTGCTCTGCTCTGTGCAATATAGCTTCATGAGTGAAGGCTTCGTTCTCAGGCTGTGCTACCCCAGGAGTAGACTAGGGTAGTAATGTCGTGTCGGCAGCAGCTGAAGGAGTCACACAGTCCCATGTGGCAGGTTACAGCCGACAGCCATGGAGTCATGGAACTATTGCCCAGGCAGAGCCTACTTTGAGGGTGAGCCCCCCTTGATCTGCAGACGAGGAAATGAGGGGGGCCAGAGAGACCACATGACTTGCCAAAGCTCACATGGTTGGTTTGTGACAAGGGATAGACAGTTGTCTTAGGAAAGTGAGAATTTAACCACAAAAAGAATTACTAGAAAATCATCCTAATCTGCCAAGTTAGTTTGTTTTTTTAACTGTGACCTACATCCTTCTAAGGGCAGCTCAGCAATCATCTCCAAAATCCTTCCAGAACCCCCAAAGTTGGGCCAGAGACTCCTCCCCCTGTACCGCCTGGCATCTCTCTTCCATAGATCTTGTTAGATTTTGTGGAAATTGTCTGGTCAGGTTTTTGTTTATAAATACTTCACATACATTCATCTTTATAGACTATAAAGATGGCTTTATCCTTCTTTGTATTTTATAGGAATAGAGTAACTAACTATAGCAGTATTAACAACCCCCCTCCTATTTGTGAAACAGTGTTTTAATAACCTCCCTGGGAGTGCTCTGTTTTAATGATGATGATGGGCCTGGGCAGTGCTACTTGAGGAGGTTGTGCTCAGTTTGAGCAGATAGTCTAAGGGCATTTAAATTATCTGACAGTGGAAAGCTGTTCTGAGCCAGGTTGACACTACTAAACAAGCTTGCATGGGGGGAAGGGGGGGTGCACTATTGATGTCAGAGTGATGACCAGCTGGAGATAAACAAGGGGCCCTTTGTTCCTTTGGTGGCAAAGACTTTATATGAGTGAGAATGGAATGGCCTTAATGAACCTTCAATGGTTCCCCTGGACGAATAGGAACTGAGGCCTTAATGTTAGTGAGATTCCAAGTCTGATTCACTTTTTAAACTTACTTGTTCTATTAAAAAACGTATCAAAACAAAGAACGAGTGTAGAGAATATTATTTTGAACATCTGTGTACCCACCAGCCAGCTTTATTAAACCTTAACTTTTTGATATTTTCTATCCTCTTTCCTTCCCTGCCTGGAGGCTCCTATTACAAATTTAGTGCTAAATACTCTGAGATTCTAAATTTGACTTTTTGGGGCCTCCCTCAATGCAAGAGCCTCTGTGTAATGCGATGGGAGCTGGGTCTTAGAGCTATAAAGAGCCACTGTGAGACCATTATATAGATTCAGAATGTGGCAGTGAGATCAGACTGTAGAGGCAGGGTTCCTTGGACCTTAGGTTTCTGACCAGTCGGTGTTTTCCCAAAGGATGAGGAGGGATAGTGGCCCTGGCAAGTCACTTATCAAGGTGAACCTCAAACAGACATGGCTTGAGGAACTCTATGGCTTAAAGGTAGTGCTTTTCAATCTTTTTTGATTGTAACCCACAATACCAAATGACATTACATTGTGCATTGCAAATTCCATTGTGACCTCATGTCCATCTGTCACACAGAACATACACCTCTGAATGAAAGTTTTAGCGAAAAAATACTCTTCCTTCATTAGCTGCACAGCACTATAGTCTATTTTGTTGTTTTTACAAAAGCTGTTTTGTTCTAATAAGTTGATTTCAAGTGCCATTCGTAGATAGGAACACATAGTTTAAAACAACAATGAGCCCTGGTTTAGAGAACGGTTACTTGTCTGCTGGAACAAACGTTTTTTAAAGGGTATATTTAGTTTAACTCTGTGGAACATTTTATAGAAAGCTTTTATCAGTCACTGACCTAAACTTAAATATTTATTTCACAATTTACTAATAGAAATCCCATGTAAAACTAAGCATAATTCAAAGCCTGTTGGGGGTTCAGATTATTTTGCATCATGTTACTTCTCTTTAAAGCTCCTAATCTTCTTCAACCATTGCTTTAAGGCAGCCTGTCTTGATTAAGTAAACAGAACTAGAACATAGTGACTTAACTATATTTCATGACCGTTAAGCCACAAAATCAACCTTTCTAAATAAAACCGGGTGTAAGTCAAACTTCCAAGTGAAAAAACCCAGCTATCAAAGCCCTCAAGTCTCCTTTCCATCATCATTTACCTCTATACACTGCTAAAGTAAGTCTATATACAGAATAAAATGATGCAGGTGTTGCTTTAATTTACTAAATTCATCAATTTTTGAGTAACCAGGCTGACATCCTCCTCACATGGGGCCCCTGATAATTACAATAGCAGGGGTTTATGTAGCACCTTCGTTGGGAGAAGTTTATATCATTGTGTTCAGAAAGGTGCAGCTTTCCCTCCAGGGAAGTGGAGGAGAAAATGATATTTAATTCATACTAAACAAGCGATTGTTGGAGATGCTGAGCTAGGATGATTCTTGAAAACTGAGAGTTTGCTTGCTCCAAAATGTTACCAACAGACACTTTAAACATTAATAAGGTAGCTGGTTTCTAAAATCTGGAGGAGGGAGAGGGTTTTGTTTAAGCCAACTATTTCACGGAGGAGGAAGTATAGTTCAGCCTCAGGAAATTTAAATGGGAATGTTGAATAACTGGGAAAGAATGTCTCCTCTGGGTGCCAGGACGAAGAAGAATTCAGCTGATTTTCAGGCAGAATAACAAATGTGACAGCAGTACCTTTTTCTGTCCACATTTATGTACCGTTACTATATGTAACTTCTAAAAAAGCAGTTCCCAAACTTTTTTGGTCTTATGACTTCTTTCTACTCTTAAGAATTATTGAGAACTCCAAAGGTTCTTTGTGTATGTGTCTTATATCTATCAAATATTTATCATTTTGAAATTAAGAGTGAGAAACTTAAAAATACTTAATTATTCATTAAAAGAGAATGATAAACCCATTATATATTAGCATAAACATTTTTATTTAAAAAACTATATTTAAAAAGAATTATTGGAAAGAGTGTTATTGTTTTATATCTCTGCAAATCCCTTTAATGCCTGGTTAATAGGTGACACTTGGAATTCTCTTACGTTTCTGCATATAATCTGTTGTGATATATATATATATTTTTTTAATTTTTTTTTCAACGTTTTTATTTATTTTTGGGACAGAGAGAGAGCATGAACGGGGGAAGGGCAGAGAGAGAGGGAGACACAGAATCAGAAACAGGCTCCAGGCTCTGAGCCATCAGCCCAGAGCCTGACGCGGGGCTCGAACTCACAGACCGCAAGATCGTGACCTGGCTGAAGTCGGACGCTTAACCGACTGCGCCACCCAGGCGCCCCAGTTGTGATATATTTTTAAAGTTGAATTACATGAAGAAAAGTCTTGCACACACAGATATGTAGTTGGAAAAGAGAGAGCCTTGCAGCTCTCTGAAAGGAACTCTGGGACTCGCCGGAGTCCTTGGGTCACACTTTGGGAACCACTGTCCCTGTAAAGTCGTTTGGAAGAACATATACAAATGGTGAGGTTATTAGTGTCCTAATTTTTTTATTCCATGTACATATTCTTTCATCAGTGAAGATGGGTTACTTGCATAAACTGTAATTGAGAAAGGGAGAAGTGTGAGCACGTTGAGGAAAGATTACAGAGGCTCTCAAATTTAGGCAGAGGAGTTTATGCTTGGGAAACTAAGGAGCCACTGTAATTTCTGAAATAGGAAAATGACTCAGTAAAACTTATATTTGGGATTTAATGGATTATTCGAATTGGAAGAGAGGAGCCACTTCAGAATCTGTTGCAGTAGTCTAGGCATGGTGAGGTGGGCTAGGCCTCAGATACTGGTGGAAATGGAGAGGAAGTTTCAAATTCTAGAAGACATTTTGAAGGCAGAATCACCAAGACTTGGGTCAGGGGATAATGGAGAAGGAAGAGCCAAAGATGTTTTCAAGTCCAAAACATTTGAAGTGTATTTTCTTCCTTATATCCAACCTTTAATTTTTTTCTGAAAAGTATCCTGATTAAGCTGATTGGAGTGTTTTTTTCTTGTTTTTCAGACTTGGCCAGCCTATTCTAGGACCTAGCAGAAAGTCAACACAGTTCCCAGCCTGAATCGGTCAGTTACTTCCAGAAGAAAAGGAAGACCTATGACATCCCTGGAGAGTTTGTACCTATGACATCCCTGGAGAGTTACTTGCTGCATACTTCCCTCAGGCCCTGCATGCAATAAAGGGCTATCTGTCCAGGTCCTCTTTGCACTGGACACCTGCAGTTCACCTCTTATGCACTCCAGCACCCCCATCAGCTCCCTCTTCTCCTTCACCAGCCCGGCAGTGAAGAGACTGCTAGGCTGGAAGCAAGGAGATGAAGAGGAAAAGTGGGCAGAGAAGGCAGTAGACTCTTTAGTAAAGAAATTAAAGAAGAAGAAAGGAGCCATGGATGAGCTGGAGAGGGCCCTCAGCTGCCCGGGGCAGCCCAGCAAATGCGTTACAATTCCCAGGTCCCTGGATGGGCGGCTGCAGGTGTCCCACCGCAAGGGGTTGCCCCACGTCATTTACTGCCGAGTGTGGCGCTGGCCTGATCTCCAGTCTCACCACGAGTTGAAGCCGCTGGAGTGCTGTGAGTTCCCATTTGGATCCAAGCAGAAAGAGGTGTGCATTAACCCCTACCACTATCGCCGGGTGGAGACTCCAGGTGAGATTTTCTTCCTGATGTCATGGTTTATCTTTAAAGTTAAGGAGTCTTGTCCCACTTGAAGAGGAGTGATGGGGCATCAGCAAGACAAGCCCTGCCCCCCACCCCACCTCACCAAAGGAAAAGGAAGAGGGGAGGTTCAAATCCGAGGAAGTAATCCAAACTTTTGCAGTCAGAAAAATCTAGAAAGAAGGTGCTTCTAGTATACATAGACGTTTTGTGAGATTTTGAAAAATGAATTTTTGTTTTGATGTATTTTGCAGTTGTCATCATGTTTTTCCAGTTCTTGGAGGTCTTTGAAGGTATTAATATGGCCTTGCTATGAACATGAACATCCTGGGGCACCCTGGTGTCTCAGTCAGTTAAGTGTCTGACTCTTGATTTTGGCTCAGGTCACAATTTCACAGTTCGTAAGATCGAGCCCCAAGTCAGGCTGTGCATTGGCAGTGTGGAGCCTGCTAGGGAATCTTTCTCTCTCTTTCTCTGCTTCACCTCTGTTCACTCACTCTCTCTCTCTCAAAATAAATAAACTTAAAAAAAAAAAAAAGGAACATCCTCCTTTCTATTCTCTCTCCCTCAATGAAACCGAACTAAACTAAAGGAGGTTTTTGCTGCCACTTTCCCCAAGCTCAGGTGCATGGAAGTATCTCATATCTGGGTCTGAAAACAGCCAGTGGAAGAATTGCTAGAAATCCTTTTAGGACTGAAAGCAACAGGGGCTGGGAAAGATTCGCAGTTGTTCTTAAATATGGCTTCAATACTGTTCTAAAACTCTTCATGTACCCATATGTGTGTGTGGGGGGGTACATATATTTCACCCCCTTTATGAAGTCTGATGTTTGCCCTTGTCCTTCACACTGGCTGTAGCAGTTTGACTACACTTCTCTTTGGATAGAGTGTTCCTTTGGCTATAGGGCTGCAGTTTTCATAGGAGCTTCCTCTCCCTGACTGGCCACCTGTCTCATTCCGGGAGACCAGAGGGCTGGCACATGAGCTCTGCCAAGTGGCCCATGTTCATTAAAAGATGGGTGTGTCTAGGGGGCACCTGGGTGGCTAGTCGGTTGAGTGTCCAACTTAAGCTCAGGTTGTGATCTCACGGTTCGTGAGTTCAAGCCCCAAGTTGGGCTCTCTGCTGTCAACATGGAGCCTGGAGCCTGCTTCACATCCCCTGTCCCTTTTTCTCTGCCTCTCGTCCCCTGTTGGTACTCTCTCTGTCTGTCTCTCTCTTTCAAAAATACATAAACAAAAAAAGAAAAAAGAGAGAGAGAGGTGGTTGTGTCTAAGTAGGCCTGGCGTTAACCTTACAGCAGTACTAGGAAGTGCCCAGCCTACAGTGGTTTGAGTTAGGCCACCTTTCAGGCTCCAAAATCTTGCCATCGTGTTGTATAACTATAGTCAGGGAAGTCACTGCCTGCGTGTGGATGCTTCTCACAGTTTCCTCATCCTGGGATTGAGTGAGTCTCTGTAGAAGACTGTTGAGAAAGCCCTGGAGAATCTGACATGTTTTCACTAGATCATATAAGTCTTAGCTTTCTTCCCTTCTTTCCTTCCTCTCTCTCTGGGCTCTTTCTGTATACCAAAAAAAAAAAAAAAAAAAAAAAAAGTCATTCAGGTCCAAGTTTATGACAATGACTTGATTCTTTTTTGCTTGTTTGTTTCAAAGATATGAGTTACAGTAAGCACTCAAAGTATACCTGATGAAAAAAATGTTCATTAAGAAATCATTTCTCTCTTCCTGAGTAATGGAGTTGTAAAATGTACATTGCAAGAAGTTATCTGGCTCATTGTCTCTGGTTTTCCTTTTGAATACTAGAAAACCTAAGTTTAAAGCCTTATTTGGTGTTTTAGTTTATGTAAGGTTCTTTTAGAAATATTAATGCAAGGGGCGCGTGGGTGGCTTCGTAGGCTTGGTCAGTTAAGCATCGGACTTCAGCTCAGGTCATAATCTCATGGTGCTTGAGTTCAAGCCCCGTATAGGGCTTTCTGCTGACAGCTTGGAGCCTGGAGCCTGCTTTGGATTCTGTGTCTCCCTCTCTCCGTGCCTCTCCCCTGATCATGCTCTGTTTCTCTCAGTCTTTCAAAACTAAACACTAAAAAAAAAAAATGTTAAATGTAAATATTTTTACATATGGCAGGTAGATTTCATATTATTATATTTTAGGTTTGACTTCCCAAAATGAAAGATGGGTAGATATAATATTAATTTTAAGGTAATATTTAAGCTACACAGGATTTTTTATTCCTAACTATGATGTTTTTTATTAGAAAAAGCAGATTTTACATCTAGCTTTCTGGTCGTGTTTAAAGTAAATATTTTGAGAACAGTGAGGATGCTAATGTTAAGCAAGTTTATTGGGTTCCTAATTATCATAAAGCTTAACTTTTTCATTTGAAATCTCATTTTCTTGACTCCCTCATTTTAGGAACATTGAGGGCTACACTCAGATTTTCTTTTTACTCACACAACCACTTAAATCATCTATTTAAATGCTTTTCAAACTACCTGTAGTGAAGGACCAGTTTTTAATTTTTAAATTTCCAACCCTTCAAATATCAATACTTCTGTAATACAAATGAATTGCCAGGCAAATGAACATTTAAGAAGACTTACCAAATGTGAGCTCAGTTTTGTTTTTGTTTTTGTTTTACTCTTCATTTCAACAGATATAAAATTGCTCTGTCAAATTGCTGTTCAAATTTTAAACCTTAACTCTCAGTTTCAATACTGCACCTTCATCGACTGGTACCCAGCAGTTAGTACGAGTGTCATTAGTACTCAAACCTCACTTTGCATGGCTGGAGTTTAGTAGAAGCCATGCGAAAAGTGTTTTTGCAGCATGTGGTGATTTTACTCCTTGCGACTGGAACTTATTTCAGGAGTACAATTTCTTCTTGACTGAAAGTACCCATATATCAAAACCACATGACTCTTGAAAAAGATACAAAAGCTTTTCTCAGCTCTGCTTTGTACATAACCCATATACACAGTAACTCCTGCCACTTTTGCCCCCTTGTAATGCTTAGTTGTTAAGACTTAGTTGTTAAGACAGTGTGGTATTTGGGGGTGCATCAGTGGCTCGGTTAAGCGTCAGACTTTGGTTCAGGTCATGATCTCACGGTTCTTGAGTTCAAGCCCTTTGTGGTGCTCTGTGCTGACAGCTCAGAACCTGGAGCCTGCTTCAAATCCTGTGTCTCCCTCTCTCTCTGCCCATCCTCTGCTCACATTCTGTCGCTGTCTGTCTCTTAAAAAAAATAAAAATAAAAAAATAAGACAGTGTGGTATTTAAAAGATGGCATAAAATTGAACCACTGTGTCATATTTGTAAGCAGCAGTTGTGATCTAGAAATAGAATTTAGTAATTAGGAATAACTATTACTATGGGTTGAATGTTTATGTACCCCTCCCCGCCAATTCACATGTTGAAAATCTAATGCCTAAGGTGATGATATCAGGAGATGGGAGCTTTAGGAGATGATTTGGTCACGAAGAAAGACCCTTATGAATGGGATTAGTGCTCTTCTAAAGGAGGCCTCAGAGAAATCCCTTATACCTTTCCACCTTATGAGGACCCAGATGATCAGAATATGTAGCTTGGGAGATAACTTTCCCCAGAATCTGACCATGCTACACCCTGATCTTGGACTTCCCAGCCTCTAGGACTGTGAAGAATAAATTTTTATTGTTTATAAGCTACCCAGTTTATGGTATTTCTGTTATAACAGTCCAAATGGACTAAGACAGCTATGTTTTGAGTGAAAGTGTTTAAAAATATGATCAGTGTAAATCTAAGGTAAACTAGCCAGTCAAACTGAATAACACCAGAATGATACCATCGGCTTTCTTTACAAAAGTTTTCATCCAGGTGGTGAAAACACATTATCAAGGCATTTGTCTCAGTAAAGGAGGACGGACCCCCCCCCCTTTTTTTTTCTTTTGGTGCTTCTGATCTGTGGCCTACGAAGAAATTGAATTCTGTGTATTCAGGGGGTATGAGTCCACTCAAAAAAGAAAAGTGAGTGTTTATTTGAACCTTGTTATCATTGTGATGAAGAAACGTCATCGCAAAAGAAGCCATATACCATTTACTCTGTCAGGCCCTCACTTTCAGACAACTCATGGAGAAAGTCATCTTTCTCCTGCGTATTCATGGAACACATAAAAGGAAGTTTAATGGCTTATCATCCAGTTCATTTTTTGAATAATGATGCCATTGGGTGCCCTATAATGTCATAAAACAGTATATGCACATATTGGCTTTTAAAGGGGGAAGAAATAATGTGTTTCTCTGCACCCTCGACTGTTGTGGTTTAGTTTAAGACTTTTCATTTACCTCTTAGGGTTTATTTTCTACATGTAGAACGAAAAAGTGTTGCTTGTTAAGAAAGACATAGATGTTTTATGGTGGATAAGTGGTAGGCTTTGTGATTGATGTTATTTTATTGCTATTGTTGTTGTTTGTTTATTCTGAAACATTTACCCTTTAAAAAATTGTTTTAGGGGCGCCTGGGTGGCTTGGTCGGTTAAGCGTCCGACTTCTGCTCAGGTCATGATCTCGCGGTCCGTGAGTTCGAGCCCCGCGTCAGGCTCTGGGCTGATGGCTCAGAGCCTGGAGCCTGTTTCCGATTCTGTGTCTCCCTCTCTCTCTGCCCCTCCCCCGTTCATGCTCTGTCTCTCTCTGTCCCAAAAAATAAATAAACGTTGGAAAAAAAAAAAAATTAAAAAAAAAAATGAATAAACGTTAAAAAAAATTTTTTTTAAATTGTTTTAATGTTTATTTTTTATTAAAAATTTTTTTAATGTTATTATTTATTTTTGAGACAGAGAGAGACAGAGCATGAACAGCAGAGGGGCAGAGAGAGGGAGAGACACAGAATCTGAAGCAGGCTCCAGGCTCTGAGCTGTCAGCACAGAGCCCGACGCAGGGCTCGAACTCACGGAGTGTGAGATCATGACCTAAGCTGAAGTCGGATGCTTAACCGATTGAGCCACCCAGCACCCCTGTTTATTTAGTTTTTAGAGAGAGCACAAGTGAGGGGAGGGCAGAGGGAGAGGGAGACACAGAACCTGAAGCAGGCTCCAGGGTTTGAGCCGTGAGCAAAGAGTCCGACACAGGGCTCAAACCCACAAACTGTGAGATCATGACCTGAGCCAAAGTTGGAAGGAAGCTTAACCAACTGAGCTACCCACGCGCCCCCAGAATATTTACTTGTTTATGAAAGTTTTTATCAATATTTGCGTATGGTAACAAATCAATAGTGTGATTAAAAACAAGAGCTGCCACATCCATCTCCAGAAACAACTTCTTTTAATCGTTATTGGTTAGTTCTTTTGCTAGTTCCTTCCATTATTACCAAAAATTATGGAGATAACTCTAGATAATATACACCTAGACAATGTTTACACATTGATTCCTAAAAATTATGGAGGTAACTCTATATGATATGCTTATAAATCTATTTCTGAATTTATCACCTTTAGATGATTTCATTGACTAATACAAAAGATGAGGATTTAGCTAATTTATATTAACTTCTCTCTTTTTTTCTTCTTTTTGAATCTTTGATATCTACATTTTAGTTTATGATTTATGTTATTTTTTGGCTACTGTATTGGTTTCCGTCGTGGGATCTTGTGTTAAGAATTATTTTCCCTTAGAAGACCCTTGGTCCATTGCTTTCTAGTGTCCAGCATTGGTGATGGGAAACCAATAGTCAGTTCAGTTCTCATGTCTTCATAGGTGGCTTTGAGGTGATCCTCTAGGAACCCTTAGAATATTCCATTTGCCCTTCGATGTTTGAAATTCAAGGTGGTATGACCAAGTCTGGATCTCTTTTCGTTAACTGGGTTGTGTATTCCATGGCTCTTTTCAATGTGATGACATAGATTCTTCTTTAGCTCTGGGAGATTTTCTTCTGTTATTTCTTTGATAACTTCCTCCCTCTGTTTTTTCTGCTTCTCTTTCTGGAACTTATGTTGGTCAGAGGCTGTACTCAACACCATTTACTGACAACTGCCAGGTGTTGTGACACTGCAGAAATCAATAGGAACTAGGAAAGCCTGGATAATGTTTGCCTTTGAGAACTGCATCCATTCTAGAATCAGGATCAAAAATACTTTTGTTTTTCAAGTATGGAATTCAGAAGAAACACACATGGGGCTTTATTTATAAGTTCTCTTATTTCTGCTTATCTCTTACTTCTATAACTCTCTGTTTATCTTTTACTTAATGATTTTTGGTTACCTTTAAATCTTTCTGGTAAAGACAAGTAGAATTTTTTTTTTCTTTTCTTTTCTTTTTTTTTTTTTTTTTTTTACTTTAGCAGTACCACTGAGCCTAAAATTTAGGCTGGCCATCTGAATAATTCAACATGGTATCTGAGGGAAAAAAAATTCTGAGGATCACTTAGAAACCAATTTTGCCTTAAAAAAATAACCACTTTATGGGCAAAATTAAAGGAAGACATAAGCAATTAGATCTGCAGATGGCCACATAATAGGGCAGCTCTGGTAATTTCTGTGGTAGGACTGAATAGACAGTCTCTTTAGAGTGCTGACATCAGAACGATTCTCCTCTAAACTGTTTTTTTGTTTGTTGTTGTTTTTTACTGTGATACTCTGTTTAATACTCAGTTTGCAATAAGAGCGTTTAAGCGTTAAACTTTGGTGTTCAGCTTGTTTCACAAGCTCACTTTCTGGGAAAAGATGGGACCTTAACTGACAGGTCTACAGCAAGCACAAAGAATGGTGGATGGATAGTTCCCAGAAAACAGAGTTGTCTCAGCAAAAATGGACAGACACAAACAGCAAGCGTCCACCGGGTTTTGTGCCGCGGAGCCAACGTTCGAGTCTAACCCGCTGGTTCCTTTCTCATCCTAGTGCTGCCTCCGGTGCTCGTGCCAAGACATAGTGAATACAACCCCCAGCTCAGCCTCCTGGCCAAGTTCCGCAGTGCCTCCCTCCACAGCGAGCCTCTCATGCCACACAATGCCACCTATCCCGACTCCTTCCAGCAGCCTCCGTGCCCTGCGTTCCCTCCCTCGCCTGGGCATGTGTTCTCACAGTCCCCGTGCACCGCCGGCTACCCTCACTCCCCAGGAAGCCCCTCCGAGCCAGAGAGCCCCTATCAACACTCAGGTCAGTAAAAGCTGCAGTTGGTCGGGGCGCCTGGGTAGCTCAGTCGGTTGAGCGTCTGACTTCAGCTCAGGGTTACGATCTCGCGGTCCGTGGGTTCGGGCCCTGCGTCGGGCTCCGGGCTGATGGCTCGGAACCTGGAGCCTGCTTCGGATTCTGCGTCTTCCTCTCTCTCTGCCCCTCCCCCGTTGATGCTCTGTCTCTCTCTGTCTCAAAGATGAATAAATGTTAAAAAAAATTTTTTTTAAAAATTAAAAAAAAAGCTGCAGTCGGTCTCCATAGAGCCTGACCCAACACAGTTATTCACGGTGGGGCCGTCATCATCATAATCACTGGCTACTGATGTTCATATGGAGCTTTACAGTTTGTGTGGCAATCTCCTGTGGGCCACTAGACCCTGCCCCTTCTAAGATCAGGGCCATTTGGGAGCATTTGTTCTGGAGCTACAACATCTCTTTGCTCTGATTTCTGGTTCTAATCCTCTGGGAACGCTCAGAAACGAAATGGCCTTTTTTTTAAAGGTCGCACAATTGACATAATAAAATACTTCGCTGACTGAAGCAGGAAGACTTGGCCTGAGGGCAAGAAACGTGAGGGGTCCACGCTTGGCCTTTTCTTTGCATAACTTCACCGGGGCAGTGTCAGGCCTCACCTCACTAGCGTGTCCTCCCTTTGTGTTGTGTGAAGCCAGCACAGCATCTTGAAGACAGACTTACTCAGTAAACATTTGCTGAACTGAAGAAGCCTACGTAAGGGAGAGGGAGTGTGCATGCCCTGGGCAAAAGAGAGAATCAAGCACGTTGTCATAATTGCACATGCTACCATGGCTATAAAGTGGGTCTAAGTTAGATTAATGATGAAGAGGTTTACATGCACCTCATGAGTGTGAGGTAGATCATATCCCGAGGAACAAGTTCCTAAAGGCATGAATAGATTCATTTGGTGCTAGATGTTATGATCTGCCTCATTCATTTGTTCATATATTCATTTATTTAAGAGAGATTTATTGAACTTTTATTACATAAAGCATTGCTTAGGGAGCCGAAAGGAGAATTAAAAGATCGGTAAAAATTGTCCCTATCCTCACAGAACTTATAAAATGTGGGAAGACAGGAAAGGAGTTGCCCTTCCTTTCTGAGTTATTCAGTTCTTCCTTTTGCCCCCTCAACAATACAGCTACTATTTTCATATATGTTTACTATTTCATTTAACACACTACATTGTATAATTCCTTCTGGGTCTATTTCCCCCATGACTGCCAGTCATCTTCTCTTTTATATGTGTAGCACAGGCGCTAAAACACAGTAGTCGCTCATTCGTTGGTTACAGAGTAAATGGACCACCACACAGGCATTTGGAACACAGGGCTGGTGCTCAGGGTTATAGATATAGATGTTATTGAGTCAGTAAGTAATTACTGAGTGCCTAAAAAGTGCCAGGCCCTGTGCTACTGCTACAGGTACGATGATGATTGATTATGACTGTAGTCTCTGATTTTTAAGAGGTAATGGCTGTTGAGAACAATCATGGTCTCAGTAATGCCTGGGCGAGTAACTATAAGGACTTGAACTAAGGGAGGTATATGGGGATGGAAAGAAGACAATGAATTTGAGGAGGTGGACTCAGTAGGGCTTGATGTGGAGTGAGACCCTGGGAGGAAGCTCAGGGGTCATCCACACAGACTGGAAGGAGATGGCTGCTGTCTTACAAGAGGCTGGATTCACAGAGAAAGAGACACAACAGGAAGAGAAGTCATTTGAGGACAGAGCCATGGTTAAGAGAAAGGAGGATAATTATGTCACCAACACGTATTTACATAAAATGTATCTGCACTGTAAAGCTTGCCTGCACTGACGTTGTCTTCCTGAATTGGTGGGACTAGCAGGTTGATATTTTCCTTCTTCCTACCCATGAAAGATGGACCTCAGCACCTTTGCAGAAGCTGCTTAGTTTTTAGGGAAGGAATGGCTCTTTTCATTTCGGAGAAAACAATTCTTTTCTGAATGATTAACAGCAAAATGCAACCTGAATACAGATCCACAGATAAGTGAGACTAAAAGGAAATCTTGAAATTCACTGGTTCAGCCCCTTAATTTTTTTTATACCAGCTTTATGGAGATATAGTTCATACATCGTAGAGTTCACACACTTAAAATGTGGCACTTAATGGTTTTTCATATCTTAATTTTTTAAAGCTGTGGTAAAATACATATCACATAAAATTTGCCATTTTAACCATTTTTAAGTGTGCGATATTGTGGCATTAAGTACATTCATAGTTGTGTGCTACCATTACCAGTGTCTATTTCCGTAATTTTTTCATCGACCTGACAGGAAATTTGTATCCATTAAGCAGTAGCTCCCGATTCTCTCCCTCTTCCTTCCTCCAGCCCCTGGTAACTTTCAACCCACTTCTTATCTTGATGAATTGGCTTATTCTAGGTACCTCACGGAAGTGGAATCATATGCTATCTGCCTTTTTTGTGTCTGCCTTATTTCAGTTAGCATAGTGTTTTCATAGTTTAGGTTGTATCCTGTGTCAGTTACTTCATTTTTGTGACAGCAGTATTCCATTGAATGGATATACCACATTAAAAAAAAATCCATTTGTTGGTTGATGGATGTTTGGGTTATTTCCACCTTTTGGCTAGTGTTAGTGCTGTTGTATACACTGGCATGCAAGCATCTGCTTGAGTCCCTGCTTTCAGCTCCTTTGGGCATATGCCTAGGAGTGGATATGGTGATAGGGTAACTATGTTCAACCTGTATTTATAGATAGACCCAGTCAAGGACCTACAAAAGGGCCACCTTGCTTTATGACTTTTCCTATAAACAGGGTCAGCGTTTATTTTCTCACAAGGAAATGATTTATCCACGGTTGGACAATGTGGCATGCACTGGGAACTGCCATCAGTGCCTGTAAACATACATGTCTTCATCTAGCCATTGACCTGCAGACTCAGAATTTCTGAGGAATCTGCATCTTTAACTAGAGTTTCACTGGCAATTTTATGCACACTTTAAGCGTGGGAACTACTGGAATGGACAAAATTCAATTCAACAAAGGCAGACTGAGTCAACTTTTCATGCCACTGCACTCCATCCACCCCTAACAAAACAAGACTATTCTGAACTGACACTAGGAATGTATACAGGAGGAATCAGTTATTCTGATGTTCTCACTGAAAGGTTCTTCCTCTGCTGCAGGAGTTTTTATTGTGTTGTGAATTAATTTCTGATAAGATATTATCTACTGAATGCACACCCATTTGCCTAACCCTGATCACTGTCCAATTATAGAACTGATATTTGGGGAGAAGAGCTCCTCTCAGCATGCCTTGGGGCACAGGTTATAATCAGGTTTCAACTGTTCTGCATTTGGGGGAGCAGATTTGGAACTATCTCAGAGAGAGACCATCTCTGTGGCCATTGTACAATCCATGGCAACAGAGGAATTGAAAATTAAGCTCACTTCAAAGAAGGTTTAGCTTTCTGCTTTGAAAGTCAGACAGCGGACTCTTCTGCCATTGCAAAAGCTAGGAGAATAGCTCCTAGCTTTGAAAATCTTATCCTACATTCGTCGGAACTTATAACTCATAGATAGCTCCTAAGTGAGAGGGAAAACTAATCAGCCGTTTTGTGAGGATGTCTGGACAACCGATTTCTTCTATGTGACACTCACAATGTCCTGCAGAATAGCCTTATTATATTACTGCCCGTCTTTAGCAATAACGCTATCCACCAAGCCCTGGAGTTTCACAGCAAGAAAGGTTGGATCTGTCTTTGTGCAGTTTATCAGTTTGACATTCCTCTGTTTTACTGCTTTCTTTTAGCTGACACACCACCCCCGCCTTATCATGCCACAGAAGCCCCAGGGACCCAGAATGGCCGACCTGTAGATGCCACAGCTGATAGTCATTTAGTGCTGTCAGTGCCTAATGGAGGTAAATTTGTAGATGAACAGCTAAATGTAGCTGTTTTCCAAGAGCATTTCCTATTACCCCACAACAAAACAAATCCAAAAACAAAATGAAATGTGCTAGCCTGCTATTTCACATGTGTTTTAAGGGGCAGAAACCATGGCTGTGCATTTTAACTTTGGCATTCCTCAATACCATAGAGTGAATGTTTGTTTATCAGCCCGGTTACTAGAGTAAGTTAATTTTTTATTTTAACCTAACATTTAGATGTTTGTAGTTCTGGATGTTGAGTACAGGAAGTGGTATTTAAGTTAGCAATTTTGCTCCAGTTGTGTTTATACTATAGTTTTGTCATGGGGTCTTTGATTTGGCTTAGAGGGGTGCCCTTACAAATATATGTAAATATGTAAATAGGGTTTTTGCAGGATTTTATCTGTTTCCTATAATGAGCTGGATAAACGTTGCTCAATTTTCACTTTCACATAAACCACATGGCGATCTTCTGTAAATGCAGGTTTTTATTCTGTAAATCCGGGGTGGCATCCAAGAACCGGCATTCCTAGCAAGCTCCCAGGCAATGCACAAGCTGTAGTTCCAGGAACCACACTGGGTGGAGAGGGTGTAAGGGAGCTTAGTGTTTAAAGTCGGCCAGGGTGAAGTCTTCTATAAGTAAAGGCCCTTTTGTAAATCAGATAATAACCCCCTAATGTATGTTTCAAAAATTTATGTTTTAGTGCATATAGGAACACACTGTAGATATAAGACTAACTAGGATATTCAAAGAGAAGAGAGCTAATATAATCACTAAAAAAGGTGGAGAAAGTGGCAAAGAATTAGCACTCTGAACTGTGGTTGGTTACTGGCAACTTAATTAGCTTTGAAAAGTTTGGCATAACATTCTTGGATTTCCTAATGAAACATACAGCTGTCTTTAAAATAGTTTATGCCATAAATAACTAAATACTCCATATGTACACATCAGAGAATGTGAGTCTATATAAGAAGTTTTTTTTTTTCTTTCTTCAGTAATTTAAATTCCTATCTGGAGTTTTGATTCAGCTTTTATTATATCCAAATTATTATTTTTCATTTTTAGTTTGTTAGGAAATGATACTCTTGTCACAGGGACTCAGTTTGGTACAGTGACAGTAATATGCTATCATTCACACATAAAGAGGAGGTGACCTGCCACCATCCTTGGAGCTGTCTCCTTTAGGGGCGATGGAATTGACATAGATCTGTTCATATTGTTGTTTGTCAGGCCCCCTCAATACTTATAAATATGATTACAAATGCTCTAACCATGGGAGAGTCACAAGGACTGTGGCCTCTGTGCCACATGTGTTAACTAGATGAGCTAACTACAATAGCTTCTGTCAAGTGACAGGTTTGTAAAGATCACAAAGAGCATCCTTGTCTCGCAGCCGCCTTTCTGGTTGACAGCATTAATGTAAGTTTCCAGGTGGAATCGTGAGATGGGAAGCCAGGCATGACAGTGGTGATGTGCTCTCTCGTTCTTTTTCTTGCAGACTTTCGACCAGTTTGCTACGAGGAACCACAGCACTGGTGCTCTGTTGCGTACTATGAACTGAACAACCGAGTTGGGGAGACGTTCCAGGCCTCCTCCCGAAGCGTGCTTATAGATGGATTCACAGACCCTTCAAATAACAGGAACAGATTCTGTCTTGGACTTCTTTCTAACGTAAACAGAAACTCAACAATAGAAAACACCAGGAGACACATAGGAAAGGGTAAAAGCAAATATGTAATTCCTATATTCTTCTGAGCTAAAACATGGGACAGGAACAAGCCACATACTGGCCACATAACCTAGCAGGTTGGTCCTAGGCTGTTGAGCTGGGAGAAAACAGCTAGGCTTTCAGGGTCTTAGTCTCTCTACATCTAGGGTCAGCACAGCATCTTTTGGAGAGTGGCATAGGTTAAATATTATGAAGACAAACAAGATGGTAAATATGAAGGCAGGATGAAATTATTGAAGGGAAGTATCATGAATTATTTTCAAATTGCCTAAAGATGCAAAATAAGAGGAATTCTGGCTTGGTGAGTTTATATATCAGGTAAAGTGACCTTTGGAGACTTAGAAGCGAGGTAGTGAAAATCACGACCTGTTTATGTTCGGGAACCTTTGGCAGCAATTGGTGGTCTCCTGTGGCCAGGCATTGTTATGAAGCAGATGGGCACAGGCTTCACTGGGGTCTGGCCAGTGGTGCTTTGAAGCCTGTCTCATAACCATGATCCACGGTAGCAAATCCTACCCGAGTGTGAGGCCTGGTTGCAGATCTTTAAATCATTTTCTTTATATTAGAATAGTTGGTAGCGTTTAATACCTGGTTGTCCACTGTCATGTTGGACTACTGTGGATTCACAGGCATACAGAACCTTTAGAGTCATTTTATCTTTTCTCTCTCCCTCCAGCCCTTAGACCACTTCAGCAAGGTAGCCACAAACCTTTTCTTTCAGATTTCCAGAGAAGATTGATTATTGTACTCGATGATCATTCTAAATATTCTTTATAACATACCCCCTAAATTTCTTCTGTCATAGGAAACCTACACGCCGTTGATTAGAAACAGGTTGAATTTATTCATTGATGTTGACTCTCATGGTGATATTTATGTTTGTTTATATCCTGTATTTTTCCATAGTGGCTTTGAGGTGGCATAAGGGAAAACTTCGCAGTGAAATGATAAATGAAAAATAGAAAATCAGAAACTGGGGGCTGAGGGTGGCAGGAAAGGAGAATATAGCTAAAGGTGACCACTGTAATTGTGATTAAAATTTTGCTCTAGGTTTCCTAACAGGGAGGTCAAAACAAGGAAACACAACTGTACTGTAATTTTTATCGTAAAGGAGGAAGCATAGCCATTCTTTCCCTTTGACTAAATTCTTAAATTTGTCGGGTACTGCGGTTTTACTTTCAAATGATTTTTATAAGAATCTCCAAGTGAAATCGAGAGGCAGAACATTAAAACATTGTGGAGCTGTGTGCTGAGGGGCTTTGCACATTGGTCTGTGTATTAGACTTCAGACTTATGCTGCTGCCACTTGATCCAAAGATAGACTTCAGATATTAAAGGAGTGTTGTATACCTTCTGGGAGCCCTTCCGAAAGTAGCTTGCTTAAGGTGCTGTTGCTGCAGACATGGAGGGTTGAGGTTCTGCATTATTGCCTGAGAGCTAATCCCCAGGTTAAGAAGCCATAGGAAAAAGAGCTAGGATGGATGGATGGCCTTTTACGGAAGCCAGAGAGTCTGTCTAAGTGCTGATTGGCTGGAAGGGCTAGGATGGATGGCCTTTTATGGAAGCCATAAAGTCTGTGTAAGTGCTGATTGGATGGAAGGGCACTCCACCCTCATGTGGTCTCCAATCAGAGTCAGAGTCTTCTCAGAAAGCTGTTTGGAAGTGCTTTAATGTGGAAAAAAACCCCACCTTTTTTTAGAGGAGTTAATAAGTCATATCATAAAGTATGGCACACACACAAAGTTGTCTTAGAATTTAGAAAAAAATTTTTTTAACATCTATTTATTTTTGAGAAAGAGAGAGAGAACCAGAGCGTGATTCAGGGAGGGGCTGAGAGGGAGACACAGAATCTGAAGCAGGCTGCAGGCTCCAGGCTCTGAGCTGTCAGCACAGAGCCTGACACGGGACTCAAGCCCACGAGCTATGAGATCATGACCCGAGCCAAAGTCGGACGCTTAACTGACTGAGCCACCCAGGTGCCCCAGAGTATTTTTAAAGGAAGAGCTATCAGTCTTCTATGAGGTCAAGGGACTGTTTCTCAGGTGCTCCCTTGGATTATTTGTTTCTAAGCAGCAGACTTCCTAGAGCACCAGCCCGAATAAATTTGGAGCAAAAGCCCACCTAGATTAGTGAATAAGTTAACTTTTTCTATGGAGTTAATTAATAGAGACACTTAGATTTCAGAGATAAGCATTCATCTTACAAATATTTGTTGAGCATCTGTTCTTAGCCAGATTATTCCATCATTAGGGATGTAACAGTTGTAAACAAAACAAAAACACAAAATCCTGCTTTCATGGGTTACCTATTATAACTAAGGAAAGACAGAGAAGAAATAATGGTATGTTTAATGATTAGAGAAAAACACAGGAGGGGAAGAAAATGGGGAGGGCATGTTTTAATGCAGAGTGGGGTAGCCAGGGAAGACTTTCCTAACAAGGTCACATTTGAACAGAAAGGGAAAGAGGGAATTAGCTACACGGAGGGGGAACTTTCGAAGCAGAGGGAACAGCAGGGGCAAAGGCCCTGAAGCCTACCTGGTATATTGTAAGGAACATCAGGGAAGCCACGGTGAGTGGGCCAAGATGAGTAGTAAGGGAATGGGGAAATCTTTGAAGAGGAGGAGGGGAAAGGACCAGGTCGCGGTGACCTTGAGGCCATTTTAAGTGCTTTAGCTTTGACTCTGCATAAAATAATAAGATAGATTTAAGTCGAGATCTGAATTTTCACCTGATCCCCTGGCTATTATAATAAAATTAAACTGTTAGTAGGGGAAGGGTGAAAGGTTTAAAGAACACACGTGAAAGAGAAGCCTGAAAGGTATATAGCAACTGTTAGCTTTGATTGTAGCTGAGTTTTAGTCTCTGCATCTCTGTGTTTTCTAAATTTTCTCTAGTGGGCTTTCCTGATCGTGGAAGGATGTGGCGGGAAGGGGGTGTGGGGGGAGGTGGGATGTGGCATGTAAGGGCACACCAGGATTGCTGCAGTAGTGTGGCCCAGCCCGGCAGAGTGGCTGAGTGTGAGTACTGACGTGGGCCATTCAGTGTCGGCCAAACAGGTGTGATGAACCTGTTTGTTCATCATATCGTCCAAAGAGACTTCCAGTCTTCAAATACGGATTTGGGGGACTGACGTCGCTACCAGCCCAGAGATGGCTTTGTGTGAATTAGAAGCCCCTTTCTCAAGAGAAGCTACTGCCATCTTCTGGAGTAGCTTTATCATGATTACCTAGATCTTAAAAGGCTATGAGGCACACCCTGGATTGTGGAGTGCACAGCTGCAGGCACAGTCCAATGGAGGGCCTATCCTCTGAACCAAAGCCCTAGCGTGGATCTGGAAATCTGTGTTCTTATATTATTATTTTCCGATCATACATTAAAACATTTTGTTTTATTTTGGAAAATTCCAAACATCTACAAAAGTGGACAGATCGTGTAGTGAATATTCATAGCACCATCTCTAGCTTCAATAATGATTCGCATTCTGTGCATTTTTTCTTCTATCCCTCCATGATAGTTTTGCAAGAGTATTCAAAAAAATTTTTAGTATTTATTCATTTTTGAGAAAGCATGAGCAGGGGGCGGGGTGCAGAGAGAGAGGGACAGAGGATCCAAAGAGGGCTCTGTGCTGACGACAGCAAGCCTGATGCAGGGCTCAGACTCAGGAACTGTGAGATCATGACCTGAGCCAAAGTCAGACACTCAATCTCCTGAACCACCCAGGCACCCCTTGCAAGAGTATTTTAAAATAAATCTCAGATTTCATATCCTTTCTCCACAGATTTGAGTATATATATGCATATATATGCATATATATAGATACATATATATGCATATATATATGTACGTATATACATATGTGTATGTATATACATATGTGTGTATACATGTGTATATGTATATACATATGTGTGTATACATGTGTATATGTATATACATATGTGTGTATACATGTGTGTATATACATATATATCTATATAAGGGGTTTCTAAAAGTACCATTATTACACCCAGAAATATGCACTTTCTTAAAGCTCCAGATGATTCTGATATTCAGCTAGGTTGCTAAAATGGTGTGCAGACGAGAGGGTAACAAAAGCAAGGGGATGATCAATTACAAAACCAAGGGAACCTTCTCACCAACCTACGCACCTTCCTCTCAGTCTTACCTGTTATTTCCCTGTCATTCAAGACTATGGAAGAAGACCAAAAGGGAACACTCTTGCAGTCTGACTTAGCAGACCCAAATCAAACCCAAGGTGTCTCTCTCTGGTCCTAAGTAACCACAACACAGGACTCCACACTCCCTCATCTCCTAAAATGTGGGCGGCAGTCACACAGAAGTGGAAAACTCAGATAAAGAGAGATGCAGCCCAAGAGAAAATGCTGGAAGAGCTTGCCTGGGGAGCACATTGCCTGGGTCCTCTTTGTCATCTCAGGATGCATTTTCTTTGGGCATTTATCCTTTTTGCTCGCTGTTCTCTGTGGAGATTTTGAATCTAATACATGTGGTTTAAAGCCCCTGTTTTGGCCTATCAGGTGGATGCAAATAAAATGACTTGCCTACTTGACTTTCCCTTGGATGCCCCTCTGTAACCAAAACCCAGCCTCCTTCACACTGGCATTGAAATCCACCCTTGCCTGCTGCTCAGAGCTGACTCAAGCCTCCACGTGCTAATTCCCTGGGCTCTGGCCCCTTTTTGCTCAGGATGCTAAACTACCACCTGCCTGCCCAGGCTCTTCTCTGCTTTCCTTACTCTGGCAACTGTGCTGTGGTTGCAGGTAATACTTTAACAGGATTGAAAATCATCCCCTAAATAAAGACCAGAGTCAGATAACAAAAAGTCCGATCTATTTTACTTAGTAGGTTCTGGGAAGATTATAAATTTGAAGGTCATTCAATTCAAATACATACTAAATACTTAGCAGTCTCCGCTGGCTCTTTCCCCACTGGTTCACCCTCTTCTGAGAAAACCACAACCACTCCAGAGGTAGGCCTTCCCCCCAGGGAGCTCACAGGGGCTGGTAAAGGAAGTCTGCTTGTATTTGCCCCTGCCTCACCCCCATGTCCATGCAGCCAGGTAACTGTGTCCCAGCCAGTTGGGACCTTCCTGCCTACTGTTCACGGCCTGGGCCATTGGTGCCAGATCCCAGGCTGTTCAGGGACTGTGAGAAGAGACATGAGAAAGAAAAGGGAGTGAGATCTGAGAAAAAAGGAGAGGGGCCAGCCCGAGATGGAGAGAAGGAGAACCCTGGCCTCAACATCAAATACTTTAGCTTTATGACTCCACATCCGTGTCTCCAGTGCTATAGCTGGAATGCGTAGTACTGAAACACATTCTTTTCTAAAATTGTATTAAGGGAAAGGAGATGGGAAAAGGAAACAGTAAATATGATGGAAGGCAGTCACAGCTAATGCACGGTCACCTCAAGTGCTGCTTAGAACCTGACAGGCACTGAGCAGCTCGCTGCCTCCGTGATGTTTCCTCGGTGCACAGCTGTGCAGACCCCCCCAGGGGTCTCTAGATTATATCATTTAAAAATCTGTATTTGCAGTTTGAAGAGATCCAAAGTATATCACTCTAGGTGTATTCTGGACCGTTTATATGAACACCTTGTGACTGCACAGCGATTGTGTTTACAATTACATTGACACCTAATGCTGGAGAATTGTGTTTCTGCTGAAAGGCTGGAAAAACCATTCTGGTATTTAACATTCACTATACTTGAACTTCTTCATTTCATCTAACCCCAGTCGCTTGCTATATATGCATTTATGTTAAGTCTTTAACCCAGATACTTGGAGGGAAAGAATCAGCTCAGCTTTAATTTGGAATAAAAATTAGCCTGGGAAGCACCAATCTCAGGATGCTGTCTTGCTTTGTTAAGTACAAGAACGTGAAGGAAAAAAAAAAAAGTACAAGAGTGTGAGATAGAGTAGCATAAGCTGCATTTTTATTGTGAGTCTTTATATCTGAAAAAGGTGGCAAGGATTTCCTTGTTCCCAAGTACAATATAGGCATTATTTCTGTGATCTATAATAGTAGGTGAAAAATTAAAAAAAATTAATATTTATTTTTATTTTTGAGAGAGAAAGAGAGAGCAGGGAGAAGGGCAGAGAGAGAGGGAGACACAGAATCTGAAGCAGATTCTAGGCTCTGAGCTGTCAGCACAGAGCCCAACGCGGGGCTTGAACTGACAAACCTGAGGCAAAGTCGGATGTTCAACCGACTGAGCCACCCAGCACCCTGAGAGCTTACTTTTAGAGTGAATAATGGGGCGCCTGGGTGTAAGCGTTCAACTTGGGCTCAGGTCATGATCTCACAGTTTGTGGTTTTGAGCCCCACCTCGGCCTCTGTGCTGACAGCTTAGAGCCTGGATCCTACTTCAGTTTCTGTGTCTCCCTCTGTCTCTGCCCCTCCCCTGCTCGTGCTCTGTCTCTCTCTCTCCCAAAAATGAGTAAACATTAAAAAATAAATAAAAAATAATAGAGTGGATAAGCATGAGCACGAGATCGAGAGTGACAGACGGAGGAGTACAGGAGAGTCTCCACAATCATTGTAAACATGGGTTGCCATCCACTTTTAAATGGACTTGTGGGAAAAAAAGCCACAAGCATGGAGGTCACGCTTCATACTGTGGTTGTGGTGATATTAAAATTAATTTCGCAACAGACCATCACACACCTTGACGTTGCAATGAGAAGGGGATGGTGTTAATCCTAAACTACTGGTACTGCTGCTTGAGGACGCCATTTTTACCTTGTAGGCGTGCATTTATACTATGTTGGGGGAGAGGTGTATGCCGAGTGTGTGAGTGACAGCAGCATCTTCGTGCAGAGCCGGAACTGCAACTATCAGCATGGCTTCCACCCGGCCACCGTCTGCAAGATCCCCAGTGGCTGCAGTCTCAAGATCTTCAACAACCAGCTCTTTGCTCAGCTGCTGGCTCAGTCAGTTCACCACGGATTTGAAGTCGTCTATGAGTTAACCAAGATGTGCACTATCCGGATGAGCTTTGTTAAGGTAAGGAGCGCTTGCTTTCACGTGTTAAGGTAGAAAGTGAAAAACTAAATAAAACAAGCCAAAATGCATTCTTTGGGTGATGTGGGTAGCTCTCCAGCCAGTTCAAGTAGACAACAGGGTTTTTTGGGGCGTTTTTTGGAACTCTGTTCAGTTGTTTTTAGGAAGAGATCCTCTATGAGTGTCAACTCTCTTGTTTAGCAGCTTCAAGAAAATTCTTAAACATGTTAGTTTTGGGGGCGCCTGGGTGTCTCAGTTGGTTGAGCGTCCCACTTTGGCTCAGGGCATGATCTCATCGTTCGTGGGTTTGAGCCCCGCGTCGGGCTCTGTGCTGACAGCTCAGGGCCTGGAGCCTGCTTTGGATTCTGTGTCTCCCTCTCTATCTCTGTCCCTACCCTGCTTGTGCTCTCTGTCTCTCAAAAAGTAAAAAAAAGTAAATAAATAAACATTTAAAAAATGATAGTTTTGAAAGAAGGACAAGTTAAGGTAGTTATCTGATTTTTTTTTCATCTCTCAAATTGCTGCGCACTATTGTCTCTCAATAAATGTTGAATTTATCTGAATTAAGTAAACTAACTCTTAGGCCAACAGGGGAGATAATATTTATAACTAAGCTACAAAATAGGCAGTACTGGTTCTAATACAAGCTAGTGTACAATAAGTTGCTATTATAAAAGCATAAACAAATTGGGATAGAAATATTATGGCGGGAATGATTAACTCAGAGATAAGTAGATGTTCTGTGTATGAGTATTCGTTGAATGTTTCTTGAATTAGGTCTTACTCATGTTGTTGTGAAGGTTGGAGAACTGAGGAAGTTACTTCGTGGGAAGGAAACACAGCTGGGTTTGCACCCTGATGCCAAACACTCCAGTGTCACCACCTGCTGTTTAATCTTGTGCAGAGTACTGGTGAATAATTCTAATATTTCAAAATATGAGTGTGTTTATCACACTAACTGGGTATATGTGACATAGTTTTCACATTGTTGCATACCCATCCAAGAAATCAGTATGGTTTTTTTCCAGGCTTTTTGGTGTGTTTTTTAAATGTTTATTTATTTTGAGAGAGAGGGAGGGGCAGGAAGAGAGGGAGAGAGAGAATCCCAAGCAGGATCCTCACTGTCAGAGGAGAGCCCGACTCGGTGCTTGAACCCACAAACTGTGAGATCATGACCTGAGCCGAAATCAAGAGTGGGACACTTGACCTACTGGGCCACCCAGGTGTCCCATTTCAGGTGTTTTCAAAGTAAGATTTGTTAATCCTTTAAAATTACCAGGAAAAATAGTTGTCCTATTTTTCTATAAATCTATTTTTATTGTATTTGTAATTTTAGTAATTATTTTAAAAAACAACAATCAAGAATATAGTTTGCAATGGAAAAAATGGATTTTTGAAATTATTTCTTTCATGATGACAAAGCAGTTTTATTCAAATTTACTGTTAAGTTTTAAAAGCATTTTTATACTGTAAAACAATTAGCAAATACCTGGAAATCTTTTCAGACGTTCTGATGCTTTAGAGCCAGCAGAGGGCATTAAATCGCCATGAACGTACAGTCCATTTTACTCTTAGTTGTTTTTTCCGGGTCCATGTTTTTAAAATTAGGATGAAATGCCAGTACATCAGAGGTAATTATTTCACTGTAGTATAGGTTTGCATAGAAATCTGATTGTCCTAAGATCAGCTAGATGTATCTCATAAAGCTATACAATTCACAGCAAACAGTTAAGTAATATTGCAAATATAACAACAGATGACTAGGTTAAAAGAAATTTAAATGTGTAAGGAAAAAATGTGTAAGTATGTGAGGTGATGGATGTTAACTAAGTTTGTTGTGGTGATCATCTCGCAATATATGCATATATCCAATCATCATGTTGTACAACTAAAACTAACACAGTGTATATCAATTGTATGTCAACAAAACTGTGGGGGGCAGATAATACAAATAAAAATAATGTAAAATACTTTGTTAGTAATTACATATTGATTATGTATTAATATGATAATATCAGATATATTGTGTTGAATAAAACACATTATTAAAATTTAAAAAATATAAGAAATTAAAGAGGACTGAACACTGGTAGCTACCAATGAGGGGTGACGGGCTAGATCATCTTTAGCTCTGATTTTTACTGATTCTAAGACTCATCCAGTCAGTCAGTGAGATATTATTGAGCTCCTACCTTGTGCTGCAGCAGGCACTATTCTAGGCATTGGGATACATCAGTGATTACTCAAAATCTCTGTCCTCATGGAATCAACATTCCAGTAGGGAGAGACAGGCAATAAACAACAGCTATAATAAAGAACTTGAATGGAAAGAGAAACATAGAGCAGGGTATGGAGAATTGGGAGTACTGGAGTACGGGGAGTTTGCAAATTTTGAAAAGGTGGGCAGAGTGGACCTCATTGGGGACTTAAAGGATGTAAAGGAGTTAAATCATGAGGGTATCTGGAGGGGATGCAGTAGACGCAGAGGGAAGGGCAAACCCTACAGCAAGAGCATGCCCTGACATTTGTAGGAACAAGGAGGCCAGGGTGCCTAGAGTGTGAGTGGGGAGCTGGGGGGTGAGATCAGAGCAGTGATAGGGAACCGGATCAGTGCTTTGGAAGCCACTGTAAGGATTTCACCTTTTACTCTAACAAGATCGGGAGCCCCTGAAGGGATTCGAGCAGAGGATTTCGTGATCTGACTTACATATTTAAAGGATCACTATAGTTGCCATGTGAATTGCAAATATCGTGTAAGCAAGAATGGAAGCAGAGAGACCAGCTAAGAGGCCATTGCACTGTTCAGTTGAGAGATGACCATCGCTCCCACTAGGAGTGTCATGGAAGAAGTTGTAAGAAGGGGAAGGATTCTGAGTTATGCAGGTGACTCTGTGTGAGTTTTGAGAAAGGAAGAGTTAGAAAGATGATCCCTCCACCCGGGACGGAGAAGATTTAGATACAAGATTAAGAGTTCAGTTTTAGTGAGAGAAACTTTGCACTGACACACATCCCGGTGGAAGTGCTGAACAGACAGTTAGAGGTATGAGTCAGGATTTAGGGAGAGAGGGCTGGGCTGCAGTGTCAATGTAGGAATTGTCAGCATATGCACGGTATCTGTCCATGAGCCCGAGTGGAATTGCCAGTTGTTTGAGTTTAGCCGAGAAGATCAGGGGTCCTAAGACAGGGCCCTGGGACACTTCCACCTTCAAAGAGGAAGAACCAGCAAAGAAAACTGAGAAAGATTAACCAATATAGAAGTAAAACCAAGAAAGTAAGGTGCTCTTTAAACCAAAAGAAGAAAGTATATTGAGGAGGAGAGAGGACAAACCAAATCACATGCTGCCCAAGTGACATGAAGACTGAGAGCTGGTCATTAATTTTAGCATGTAAAGGGTTTTTTTAATCTTTTTTTTTCATGTTTATTAATTTATTTTGAGAGAGAGAAAAAGAGTGAGCTGGGGAGGGGCAGAGAGGCTCCAAGCTGTCAGCACAGAGCCTGATGCAGGGCTTGATCCCACGACTGTGAGATCATGACCTGAGCCACAATCAAGAGTCAGACGCTTAACTGACTGAGCCAACCAGGTGCCCCATCTTTTTTTTTAATCTTAACAGGAACAGTTTTGTTGAAGGCTGGGGTTGAAGTGCTGATCAGAATGGAAGGAGAGGAATTGATACAGCCAGTTTGGACAGCTAGAAAGGGGGTCAAAGGTATAGGGCAGTAAGTGGTGGGAGTGGTTAGGGCCAAGAGAAGTATGTTGAAGACGGGCGATATTTCATCATATTCCTATGTTGATAGGAATGATCCAGCAGAAAACAAAATATAATACGAGAGAATGGGGAGATTTCCTGGAATGATGTCTTTGGGAAGGCATTTGAGTCTTCTGCACAACTGGATGGACTGGCTTATTTGGAAACACAGATAATCTGTGGTGAGAGGTAGAAAGGCTGAGTATGTTCGTGCAAGTGCTGTGGAAACCCTTCTGATTGCTTCATTCTGGTTAAAATAAGAAAGAAGATAGTCATTCTCAAGTAGACGGGGGAGTAGGTATTAGAGGTTGTAGGGAAAAGGACAAGAGTGAGCAGTCATTTGGGGTGTGGGAGGTAGTGGGAGAGCACAGGGACTGGGGGAGTGTCATTTGATTGCCAGGTGGCATCACAGGGGCACTTGAGGCTTGTGGTCTCGAATGTAAAGTGTGATCAGGCAGCATGGTTGTGTTGAAATCCAAGTTTTTTTTAACCTACAGATAATCACTGTTCCCAATAAGAGTAATTTGTGATCTCTCTTCATTTTTAAAAAAATAACTTTTTACTAGTATATAACATCTAGAGAAAAAATACACAAATTTATTTTTTCTTTATTTTTACTATCTTTCCTATGAATGGTAATAAGTGGGAAATTGCCAAAAAGTGAGCCAAAAAAGAGAGAGAGGAGAAACAGGCTTTTTAACCAACCCTTGAATCATCAAGAACACCCTCAGTTCTCTCTTCACAGTTTTCAGATCCAGTCAGTGGTCTGCAGTGAGCATCTGCTTTGTGCAAAACACTGTGTTCAGCAGTAAGGGGTGGAACATAAGGTCAGGCTCCTTCCCTTGTGGAAGAGAAAATGATTTGCTGGTGCTTCTGACGTGACTAGAGACCAGACCATCTCTAGGTCTGTGTATTTAGTTGTGAGCCTAGAGGCGATCTTTGATTTGGACTCATCTTAGGGTGTCTGGTTGATGCAGAAGTTGTTCTGTACTTACAGAAAGGTCGAGTGCACATTCTCTCAGGTGTCAGGAGCGGCTCTGGTGTGTGGGCTCTGCGTGCACTGAGGCCTGTCTGTCTCACACCTCTGCAGGCTGACCATAAAGTCTGGCACCGTTACTCTTGGCTCTTTTTTTTTTTTTTAATATAATTTATTGTCAAGTTGGCTAACATACAGTGTATAAAATGTGCTCTTGGCTTGGGGAATAGATTCCTGTGATTCATCACTTCCATGCAGCATCCAGTGCTCATCCCAGCAGGTGCCCTCCTCAATGCCCATCACCCATTTTCCCCTCTCCACAGCAAGCACCCCACAGTTTGTTCTCTGTATTTAACTGTCTCTTATGGTTTGTGTCCCTCACTCTCTGTAACTATTTTTTCCCCTTCCCTTCCCCCATGGTCTTCTGTTAAGTTTCTCAAGTTTCATATATGAGTGAAAACATACGATATGAAAACATATGTCTTTGTCTGACTGACTTATTTCACTTAGCATAATACCCTCCAGTTCCATCCACATTGCTGCAAATGGCAGGATTTCATTCTTTCTCATTGTCAAATAGTATTCCATTGTATATATAAACCACATCTTCTTTACCCATTCTTCAGTCGATGGATATTTGGGCTCTTTCCATAATTTGGCTATTGTTGAAAGTGCTGCTAAAACACTGGGGGTACAAGTGCCCCTATGAATCAGCACTCCTGTATCCTTTGGATAAATTCCTAGTAGTGCTATTGCTGGGTCATAGGGTAGATCTATTTTTAATTTTTTGAGGAACCTCCACACTGTTTTCCAGAGCGGCTGCACCAGTTTGCATTCCCACCAACAGTACATGAGGGTTCCCATTTCTCCACATCCTCACTCTTGGCTCTCTTCTTGCTTTACAGGGCTGGGGAGCTGAGTATCATCGCCAAGATGTCACGAGCACCCCCTGCTGGATTGAGATTCATCTTCATGGACCACTGCAGTGGTTGGACAAAGTTCTGACTCAGATGGGCTCTCCACATAACCCCATCTCTTCGGTGTCTTAACAGTCAGTCATGACTTCGTCGACATTTCTAGAGCATAGATGCTATTGCAGGCAGTGGCTTACATCATTTCAGATTTGCAACTAACTCAAGTTTCCAAGTACATATGTAAATACATATAATATATACTATTCATATTTTTTATCACCAATTGTTTTGTGCTTTCTAGTTAAACCTGATGCCAGTACAACATGATTAGAAAAGCAGGGTTTTCGTGCCTGTGCTATAATAATAGGAAGCAGCTTCTTTTGTGGGCTGGGCGGTAACAAATGAAGGCAATTGTCTCAATAGTATTTGAAAAGTGCTGGCAGAATAAAAGGCAGCTTTAGTCAGCCGTGTCATTATAAGGCATGTTGGGTGGCCTACCAGAAAAATATCAAAACTGTTTATATATTAAGAGTCAGGGTACTAGCAGCACTAAAGAAATAACACTTTCAGACAAAAGAAAGCAGTCAAACCCGTATAATTTAAACAATCTCACTTTTAGTGTTATCGGCAAGGAAAAAAAAAAAAAAAAACAGACCAAGCTGTAAATCAGTTATGTAAGATAAATCACATAAATTATTTTATCTCTCAAGTTGAAATACCTATAGCTGGATGATTGTGCTGATATTAATGGTACATTTGAAACAAATTTAAACTGTGATTGGAAAAGAAACTGTGAAGCTGGGAGCCACATTGCCTCATAATCTACCACTGAAAAAAATCCAGAATGAGTCTAATGCATGGAAAGGTTAATATGAAAATAGCAAGAATTGAGCATTATTCCCAAACTGCAAAACAAGACCAGAACTTAGTCCAAGAATCAGCCAGGGAGGCACTTGCTCTCCATGTAGGGAATCGGGTCCCTGAATTTTCCTGGTTTCTCAAGTCAGGCAGCCTGGCCGCCTTTGGAGTCCACACAGTGAGCTAGAGGACCATGTGTGCAAATCCTGAGTGGAGAAGAAGCAGTAAAATAAGAGGATCGGACAAAAGCATCCTCTGTTTACTTATACCTTCTCATATTCCCATTAAAAGGCTCATGGCGAGGGCAGTCCTTTTGCCGCATTTTCCCTACACATTGGCAGATACTATTTACAGATGACTAAAACAGTGGTGAAGCCTTTGAGAAAATCTGGACACATTGCTGGGATGAAGTTTATGAGTTATTTAACTTAGTGTCTCAATCTGCTGGTCACATCTGGTAGCCTCTTATAAAGCTGAAACCTCATACCTGGAAATAACTTCACAAATAGAATGATAACTTCATAATCCTTATAATCTCTGGGGAACAGCGGTACCGAAGAGTGGGACACTTAAAATATATATATGGTATTAAAAGCCCATTCTTAGTTACTCTTGGATGGTAAAGAGAGGAAAATTCCCCACATTTCTAGGTACTTTCATATATATATATATATATATATATATATATATATATATATATATATACAATTCCCACCCACTAAACACTGCACTGCTTCGAAAAATATTTCACACCCTCTTAAAAATGTATAATTTAAGAAGGTAATTATGCTTGTAACAGACGGTACTTCAGTAATCCAAGAGGCTTCTTCATTTATACATTCTATCTCAAGTCTTTTTAGCATTAGCACACAGTAGTTGCTTATCATTAAATTGTATTCAAGGTAGAAATGATCCTGTGAAAAAGATACGAGTGAGTTCCTACTGTCACCTCTTGTAAGCACTAGTGTTATCTAATAGAAACTTTCATATATGCAACAGAAAATAGTACATTCTACGTTAAAATTAGGTGGTCCATTTAGTGTTTAGAAAACCCTGTAGTTCATTGGTTCATCACCTATGTATTGTGCACCTGTATGTGCTGGGTACAGTGTTAGGTACTGTGGAATCCAGTGTAAACCAGAGACAGCCCCAGACTCTGGAGCTGAGAGTCTATTAGGAAACCTGTGTAGACATCTTCATGTATTTTCACTTTTAAAACAAAACAAAACCTGCGATCGTTTTTTTTTTCCTTTTTGCTTAAAAAAAATACGACTGATGATTTCTTAATTATCTCTATTTTGAAACTTACTTTCCTTCTCTTCTGGGCAATCAGGTAAGGGGTGAAGTCTTCCTGGGATGTATGCTACTTTTCTTCAGTGCTTCGAAGTTGTTTGTTTTCTCTTACTTCCCTATTTTCCAGTTTTCCCCCATTTCTTTCCTCAGAAGAGGCATTAATATGGTGAGTCTTCCTCATATGAGTACTGTGAGATTTTGGTACACATGGATTTTGCTCCAGACATTTAACATAACTTTGGTACATATGAGATTTTGGTACACATGGATTTTGCTCCAGACATTTAACATAACTTTCTTGATCTCTTCACAAGTGCTCAAACTCATCCTCTGGTAACCTTATACCTTTGCAGAATTAATCATAACCAGTTGCTTATAAGTTACATTTAAAAAAAATAAACAAACCTGGATTTTCATGCAGCTTTGGGAAACCAGGATGAAATACTCCACAGAGCCTGTGTTATTCCTTTGAAGAAAACACTTGATTAAAGTGGTACATTTGCATCATCACCAGTCATGTCTCACCAAAAGCCCATATTAGGATGCAAGTGAAATGCAGAAGAGTTAACCCTTCAGTCACTCTGACAGTCACATTCTCATTGGCCTTTTAATGTTTCTGTTGGCAACAGTTAGCCAAAGTTGTAATGCATCGTTTGCTTTCAGACTTCCACGTTTGCTATTTAGCATTTGTCCCTTGAGATGGACAATCCAGAAAAAACTTAAGAGCATTCTTTCAGAGGATAACTTGTAAAGTGGACATGCTAAGCCATTTTAAGACGTAGCAATGCCAAACATATTTAAGGTTGCCATGGACAAGGGTCGTGCAATAGAGAACAACAACGATGTGGCCTGTTCTTAAGACCCAGAACATTTGTTGTGTTGTTCAAGCCCATTGTTTCTGGGGTTTTTTTTTTCCTGTTAAAAAATTGAGATGTGAGAAGTTTGTTTTAGTTAGATGATATTTTACTATATGCCAGTGCTTTGGAAGTATAAAGATAACCACTTTTCAACATATTTACCTTTTTTTTTTTTTTAACACTCTGTGTAAATCAGGAAAAGTTGAACAACAACCTAGCACTGGCACTCAGAATCCCCTTTTCTTTGTCTTCTAAGGGATTAGGAGCAACAACAAAAGTTTCTTATAAATATCACCTGCTAGACTTTAAGCACCTGCTTAACTTTGAATGTGTCCCTGATACTTGGCATATATATTCAACAACTAAAGAAAAAAATAATATGCATTCCAAATTTGTCTTCCCCGTTATGATTTAGCAGTTGAACTGTATGACAAGACTAGGGGATCCTGGCATAATCTATATTAAGTTCAAATTAATGTAACACAAACCAACAAAGAAAGGAACTATTTCTATTTAAGTAATGCTTTTGATCATAATATCTAGGCTCCAGTTATCCTTCAAATGCACACTTATACTGTTACCTGATTGTTTATAATAAACACTACTGTACCTATATGTTTTTGGCTCGTTTTTCCCTACAAACATCACAAAAGGGTCACTGTGTGTGGATCCGTAAGATGATCTTAAGCCATCTTATTTTGAAAATGAGATGTTTTTAAAATACAACATGCTATAAGAGAAATTAGGTAATGGTTTTGAATTAAATATCTTCGGATAACTGGCATGAAATATAGAATCTTGAAGATACTTTGTAGTAACTTCAGAGAAGATATACATAATTGCTTTTTTTCTGGATCGTGGCAAATATTAAGTGATATTACGGTATATAGGAAATAACTTTATTATTGTAAACATCTGTTCATTGATCAAGAAGGTGCTAAAGATGGCTAGTGAGGAAAAACTAAGATAAAATCCAGGAGGAAATTCTCAACTCCCTCCATTTCCTTCTAGTCTTAAAATGGAAGGGCGGGGTGGTGGTGGGGGGGGCAGGGAAATATATAAATCTCTCAAGAAATTTCGCTTAGCCTTCTTATATCCTTGATCAAGGTTTTTTCCTTATTTTTTTAAGAAATGCCCTACTTATTCAAAAAGAGGTATTTGTGGACTTCCAAACTATAAACAGATGAAAGACAGACTATTCTGGGGATTATGAGACCTCCAGTTTAAGCTGTGAGTTTATGGAGGACAGTGATTGTATCATGTCTGCTTTTGCATCCTCATGGTTCTCGACCCTGTTCCTGTATCAGATATTTGGTATTGACATTTCAAACACTAACTAGTACAGATTTTTTTAAATATACCATGGCATAGACCTATCATACTGTCTGTAAACGTTAGCCTGTCTTAGAGGGGTGATATTTTCATCATCTGAGAAACCTCTGCATATTTATTTACCAGATCATTCTTATGTGTCAGCCACTGTAGATGCAACGACAAACAGCACAGTTTCTGCCTTTAAAGGAATTTACCAGTTTGTGGAGGAAGATGAACAAGTACACCAAATGAGGTCAGTGCACTATCAGTTGTGACAGGCTTCTGAGGAACCAAGCAATGACATCTCCATCAGGCCCTAGGTGGGTACCTGGGAAGGCTTCTGGGCCAATCCAACTTGACTTCCTTCCCATCAGTTCCCTTAGTAAGTCATCCAAGACCTTCCCAAGCCAGGTTGGATGTCTCTTCTCTGTGCCACCATCATAGTTGTGTTCACCAGTGGTCAGTTATTAATTCCTGCACCACACTGTTTACTTGGCCAACTTTCTGCTGGACTGGGAGCTCTTTAAGGGCAAGGATTGTATCTCTTCACGTTCATCATTATCTAGCTGTTGTTTAGAAAGGCCTTTCAAGTTTACATTGTAAAGGCAAAAATGTTTCCAGTTCTTTTTATTTGATTTTATTTTTTAATATTTATTTTTGAGAGCGAGAGAGCAAGTGAGCACAAGATGGGGAGGGGCAGAGAGAAAGAGAGACACAGAGGATCTGAAACGGGCTCTGTGTTGACATCTGCGAGCCCGACACAGGGCTTGAACTCATGAACTGCAAGATCATGACCTGAGCTGAAGTCGGATGCTTCACCCACTGAGCCACCCAGGCACCCCTCCAGTTCTTCCTTTTAAAAATCAGCAAGTATTTCATTTCTCCTCTTTGAAATAATTGCAAGCCTCCAATTGCATGTCCAGTGACCACATTGCCAGCTGGTGGGCATGCGAGGAGGCTCACGATTTGGTTTGGAAATAGATATTCAGCCACACTGCAGTAGCAAAGAAAGGTAGTTTTGACAGTTAAACAGTTATAATTGTTTTTATCCCAAGCATTTATTTTTAAGATGTGAATTTCAGTAAAATTTCAGTAAAGATTAGAAAGAAGCACAAGGAATTCTGATATTGCAGCCAAGAGTTGCAACTGCTTAACTCTGCCATTGGAGGGCAAAGGCAGCTATAATATTATGTCAATGATGAGCATGGCTGGGCTCCAATAAAATTTTATGGACACTGAAATTTGAATTTCAGTACTTCCACATGTCATGAAACTTTTTCCTTTTGATCTTTCAACTATTTAAAAATGTGAAAACTACTCTTTGCCTGCTGCGGTACAAAAACAGGCTGTGGGTTGGTTTTGGCTCAGGGCAGGATGTCAGTTTGCTCAGTGCTCCTTGGATTGTGAGACCACGCTGAGTGTTGCAGTCACAGCCTTGCTGCCATCTGAATGCAGTCCCATGAGATACCCCAGACCCGACCAGCAGAACCCCTCAGCTGAGCTCAGCCAACCCACCACATGCGAGCAATGACAACAAAAAGGTGGTTAATTTAAGCCATTATGCGTTGGGGGTGGTATGTTGGATAACTGAAGCAGTGGTCATGACCATCATTCTTAGGTTCGCAATGTTGATGAAACTTTGTCTTGGATTCATCAGGAGGCTTCAGGTGAAAGCGGCTTCTTCTCACAAAGTGCAGGCATGCCTGTTTGAAAGCACCTGTAATTTATTACTGAGTAGTTGCTACTTTGGTTCTGATCAGTATCCTGGCTCGAGTTGCTTTGACAGTAAATCAGCTGTTCAAAGAGATCTCTGTTCAAAGTCCTCGCTTCTCTCCTAGACTACGTGGGAAGACTTGCTGTTTTGGTTGCTAGAAGTAGAACAATCAATTCCTGCCTCCAATTATTAATAGCAGAGGTGAGCTATGACATTTCCCTGCAAGGGTACAGTGTAGACAGGCAGGGCTGGCTTCTGAGGACACTGCTGTTCCTGCTGCTGCTGCGATGGCATAGTCACTGTGCTGATCCCAGCATCTGACCTTCACTTTGCATCGAGAAGAGTTCAGGTAGGGCCTGGTGCTTGCTGGTCAGAAGGCACCTGCCTTCCTCTCCACAGTGAGCACCTGAGTGTTTGCTCCTTGTGTGTCAGTTCTAAGTTCTCATACTCGTTCAGAATGGGCGATGCCTGGCCTGGGGCAGGGGCTGTAGTCATCTTCCAGTTGCAAACAAAGCCGGAAGTGTTCAAGAAATGAGATACTGGATGGACTTTATGCCCTATTTACAGGTAGCAAGTATCTGGGACTAATGAGCCAAGGGAAATTTTGATTGTTGCCGGCACAAAAGAGGTAAACGAGAAATGGAAGAGACCTAGGAAACGTAGCAAAATATCATTTCGATGTAAGGATGAGAAAACGGTACCTCAATATGAATGGAATGCTTGGCTTTTCTCATTCAGGCACACAGTTGGATACAAGGGCCCAAGCATTAGCACAAAAGGCAGAGTGTCCATGCCATGAAGTCTCTTTTAGAAAGAAAAGGCCAGCTTTGCAAGTGTAGTCCAGGAGCCTGGAAACAAAGGTCTCTGAGCACTGCCCTACTAGAAGCAAACTTAAGTTTTCACAGTGGCAGACAACTTTTGGTCATCTTAGAAAGATACTGATTTCTCAAGACTCAGGTTCCCTCACTTTCTGAAGGAAATAATGCTGTCACAGTTATACTCACAATCCCCCCTCAGATGATTTTTTTTTAATGTTTATTATGAAAGGGGGGGTCAGAGAGAGGGAGAGAGAGAATCCCAAGCAGGTTCCACGCTGTCAGTGCAGAGCC